ACGTGTGAAGAAGCGGAAATTGAGAAGTTGAAAGCTGATCTGTCTCCATGGTTGATGTGGATATTGTGTAAAACTTGAATTGTGAGTATTACATGATCTTTTACCTTTGATCTTTTATCATGACCCCTTATTTACCTTCTCCTTTGCTCACCGTGAAGGGAGCCATTTTTGCTGAAAGTTCAGAGTTTTATAATCCTAAATACAGCGTTCTTCTTCTAAAAAAACTCTCTTACTTTACTAAGTAAACTTCTTGACCATGCCCTATGACCTCATTGACCATTCTGTTCGAAATCAAATTTGTATTTTCTCATTCGTTACTCACCTTAAGCAATGAGAAGTAGCAGTTGAATAGAACTCTCGAAATTTTATGGATTCAATAAATTCTGCTGTTTTTGCCATCTTCAAATTTGATGGATATCTTATTTTGAAGGTTTTGGTAAGCACTTAGAATATAATCATTATTTATGTTCAATCGACTAAAACCGGTGAAAATCGTAAAATGTTAATTAGCATTTCAAGGAATATCTGAACCTTTCGGTAATCGAAAGTCCAAAATAATTACAAATAAATGTGGCCGAAGGACATTTCTCCTAGTGTACAAAAACGGTGCCTTTACAATTGCGTCTGACAATTCCATTTAAATGTATTAGTCACTGATGGGCATGTCAGCACGTGAGCTTACGAAATATCTTATTCCTGTGACCTCCCAATGGACAAAATCAAGCGAAAATCTAGTTGCCCTTGTCCAACGTAAATCAAATAATGCAGAAACGGAAGAAACAACCAGCAATTCTCGTGAAAACGTGTTGGAATTAATGCTCGAAATCTGGGCTGTTCGATAACAGCCATACATTACATTCCAATAGATATGGAAGCATATTTATCCAAAACGTTTGCAAAACGATTATTTTCCAACGTAATTCTACTTGTGCTACTTTATTCATTTGATGTTTCTGCATGAAGAGGCTTTCTTTACCTTTAAAACTTAATTGTACCTAGTACGTCCGCTTTTCCTTTTTTTCGAAATTCTCGCTTTTGCTAAAAAAGCTGGTAGTTCTAAAAAACGTAATATTTCTTGATAAACCGCAATATGCTCTACTTTGAAGAACGACCATTACTTTATTGCTCTAAGCCCTTGGGGCCGCAGTTTGAACTACGTTTGAGTAAGAGGAGTTGCTGGTGAAAACCCTTCGATTTCACGAGTTAGACCACTTACTGTAATTTCTATTGTTCACTGGAGTTAGGAAACGTGCGTACTACATCATCCAAAACCTTTCATAGCTCGTACTTCTAAAGTCTTACATTTATCCTCTCACGTCGCAGACAACAGCCCTTCCATGGCCAAATTCACATCAGTGGTTTTTAAATTTCTAATTCTCTCATCACATGTATCAATAATTCATGTAAGAACCCAAATGGTACTAGTTGTACTCCCCCAACTGCCCAGTTTTGGGGTGTTTAGTGGGAGAACTTTAGCATGACACTCGGGTTGGCTACCCATGGAGCATTTTAATACATTTTCATATTTTACGTAATAAACCATCTACAATCATTTGGAATTCTGATTAGCTGAGACGATTTAATTTTTTTAAATCATTTGGAATATTTCTTACCACAATAAGGTCTAATTTTCATTTTGTTTGAAGAAGGTACAATTTAAAAACCTGCTGCCATCTTTGACCAAGATTTTTTCGGAGTAAACACTGGAAGGGATTATCTCAAATATCAAAATATCTACACAACTAACCAAGAGCTACTATTTGAGAAAGTTTGCGTATTGGTAAGGGCTACTATTCATCTGATTTAAAGTGGCCATTCGAAAGGGCACGGGGGATAGGGACGTCATACTACAGACAATCTTACACCAGGTTCCAGGGAGATTGGGGTTCGGAGTCAAGGCTAGGGTTAGAGTTAAGTTTTACATTAAGGATAGACGTCGCATACAGGCATAGGTACTCCTCTTGGAATTTTCTTCAAGCACCCCCTTGTCCCTTGTGTTAGGCGGCTGCTTATTCCTGTGTGTTCACTGACGTTTAAGGCTACAAAATACACACAGGGGGTTGGTAAGGGTAACGCGCAGTGATAGACATTAACATGCATTCGCTTACCTAACTAATGTATATTTAAAAATAATTTTCATGTTAACCAGACAAAGCCTTAATGTCCCCGTTTCCCACCTGGAGTGAAAGAAGAAAACTTTAGAGGGAGGTGGAATATAAATTAGAATTATATTGTATTCTATTGCACCTGATGTAAAACGCGTTACAATGGTTACAATTGTGGAATCCACCCGCATCCGGACAAGACCGAGCTAGGTTCGCAGCCTTAACAAGTGAGCAGCCTACCGATATCATGAGATATCTGGCTGATCAACTGGCATAGGGAGCATGTGACTGTGAACTCGTGAAAAACATTGTAGCTGAAGTGAGCGCAGGTTTATCGCCATTGGAGGATTGAGCTGTCAAACTATCGAGTGACCGTCAAATGACAAGGGCCCAAAAACAGCTTGGGTTCGCCTTGAAAACACTTTTGGAACACATTCCTCGTTGTAATTCGTTCCAGCCCACCTTTTTCGATCTGAAACTACAATGATCAAGCGTTTCCTGGGGAGCAAAGCAAACTTTCACGTTGAGGTGCAGTTTTTGATTAACTATTTACGGCTTCAGCATAACCTTAACCCTGCATGCTACTCAGGGTCTGAAGCCCGCACAATGTACTATGGTTTCGCAGAAAGGGGGCTCGCATCTCCAGTTTGTCGGTGACAAGGAGGCCACTCCTATATCCCTATATGCCTACCAATAAAAAGCCAACCAAATTTTTTTTTTAAACAAACCTTGCTTGGGTTGACACCAACATAGGCGCAGTCAGCCTCGCTAAGATTGGATGCGCCAGTAGACAATGCGCCCGAGGCCTCCGCATTGGCTACAGGAATTGTGGGTATGGGTGGCGGCTGAGAATGATCCTTAGCATCCTCCGGTTTCTGCAGATCATCAGCAGGTGGTTCCGGGAGAGGAGGAGCATCGGTAACGGCTTCTTTGTCTGCTTAGAGGACAGACAGCAAAACTTGAAGTACTCACAGACTAAGGAAGTGCCAATGTTATTGGTGAAGACGAAATCAAATATTGCGCAAGTAAATGAAACCGAAGGTCGGACTGTCCATGGTGTTACCTTGGTATTTTTTTATTATAAAATAACTACTTGCACATTTTCAGTAGCCCGACTTCCAAACGTTTTTCCTTTTCTCGCCACGACCGAATGTGGTGATAGAGGCGTAAAAGCCTATTGACCACTTTTACTGAACTATTCAGAACTATTCTTCCAGCAACAATTGTTCCGCCGGCCAGTGTTTTTAAAGGCTCACACTTTGATCAGAAAAATTGTACGACGGGAAGGACGGTGTACAAATCATGATAAGAAGAAGACTCGATCGCTGGGACAATATGTTTATTCGAGTCTTCTTCTTCTCAATTGCTTCCTGGGACACGGATGTTCGCTTGTATTGGCAAATCATGATAGTTTAAATTCATGTTTTGCGTAAGTACCCGAGAGCTGTTCGGAATTTTGGGTTTGTGATGGAGAATGACGCACTAAAAGGAGTCCGCAACGGAAGTAGGAACCCTGAGTATTCTTTCATCGTCAAAGACATGTTGGCTAAAAGTGATGTGAGTGGATATGAGTGCAAGCATCCACTGGTACCCTAACGATAATTCGAAATTTTTGGTGAACTTTTGCCCGTCGGGCCAAGATTGTGCTGGATATCTTCATTTCTTCACTTAGCCAGACAGGCCCGTGTTGTCACATCCGATTGGATAGTTAGACACCGGTCTAGCCTTCCCAAAAGAGAAAGTGAAAATGTAGATACATTTCGAGGGAGTCCGAAAGGGCATCCTACACTTACCTTAAATGTGAAGACACCGGTGATATCACTTTAATAGTTTCAACCTTTGGCGATCTACAGTCTATGGTGTCACAGATGAACGAGGTCACTTAACTGGTCGGTTTTTCCATAAACGCTGGAAAAATTAATGTGTTATTATGCTGTACCCTGCCCAAGAGATGGCAGCCCTCGAAATTAATGGCTGTCGGCTTGAAGAAGTAGACAGTTTTAAATACCCCCGAGCGAGGTTGCTGTCGAATGGACAGAGTAAGGATGACATTGTCTCCCGAATCGACACAGCTCGTCAAGTTTTCTCCAGCCTTAAAACATTCTTATGGACCCGACGCGAGTGTTCTAGCTCCATGAAGATTTCATGTACCCTGCATCTGCGCTGTCTACCCTTCTTTGCAGCTGTGCATTCAGGACTATGCGCGTGAAAGATTAAAGAAAACTAGAGGTGTTTGATCACTAGTGCTTGAGGACCAACTTTCGAGGGAACTACATCAACTTCGTCTCAAATGAAACAGTTCGCACTCGCTGTGACAATATTGTAAGGATATTCCAGGTCATCCAGGAAAGAGGATTGATGTGCTTTGGACACGTTCTCCTTAGTCAACCTCACAAGGTGAGTGTTACTGCCCCCGACCCGAAACCGTTACCCGATTGGAGACGTCGAAGAGAGGGTCAACTCAAAACCTGGCTCGACTTAGTCCGTCACGACAGTGAAGTGGTTCTTGCGACTTCATTAATCGATTTCCAGTGCTTTTGAAGAGCGTGGGTTAAATTTTTCGGGTCTACTGCCACGGATCGTCACGTGTGGAGAAGTAATATCCGGGACATCATCGCGGGCGGCTAGATCAGTCATTATCGCAAATCATGATCGTAAGTAAGAAGAAGCAGATTTCTTGACAAAATGTAGCCTTATCTTGGTGACTGGGTACATTCGCGCACTAACGTAATTCAGGCCGCGGCGTTGGCTGGTCGAGTCGTCTTAAAACGGTGATGAGATGAATAGCCGTCACACGTTAGAAGACGAGGAACCTACCCGCATGTAGGCTGGAACACGATCCTGCCAAACTAAATCCATCCATGGCAAAGCATATTTGTAGTGTATTTGTGGCTCATTCAGTTGGCAACGGCTACTTGAAAGAAATCTATCGATGCATCTATAAGGAATCGAGGAAGCACCGAAAGTTCCCGCGCGAGCGGATACGTGCGATGATAAAGCCGGTGGATATAGCTAACCAATCTAGTCTTGCGCTTGGAGAAGGTCTAAGTACAAACCTCGAAGCGTCCTTGAGGAAAGTTCAGTCTGAATTTTTGTACCCGTAGTATGACAGCGAGGAGAGCTAAGCATTACTTAGTGGCAGTTCCTCCTTATATTCCCCCTTTCCATGAGGATAAAGAACCAAAATATGATTACCTCCTGGTTCTCATATGTCTGGACGCCCTTAACCTTCTGCCCTAAGTCTATCAGTTATCGAATATTTTGAAGTTATTTGTGCAACCACAAGTTACTGTACAGGCATTATGAGGAAAAATAGAAAGCGTACTTCCTCAGAACTTGGATCCTTCAACTGCTCCCTGAAAAACATGGCACAGATTTCAATTTGCCCTGAGTGGATATCTTTTTCGAAAAAGGACAAACACATGGAGACGGATGACCGCCAACTCACCTGCATTTAGGGCGTTTTTGTTTTCTTCATCCACTGGATTGACGGCCTGCTTCATACGAGAATTCTATAGGCGGGTAAAATTAAAATGCGGATAATAATTCTCTCGAAAAGCTAAACTGTAGGTAACGCAGACAGTCTTGCTACTTGTTATCTTTAGGTAGTTAGGATTGCTGCACTTTTTGCAATGTCAGTCAAATCGGATGGTTTGTGCTCGGGCATGAATAACATACCTACAGGCATACCGGTCTTTCGCATCGTCTATTAAGAATAAAGAAGCAAGACCTGTGCGTTTAAATGTAATAATTTTACTCTGAACTCCCATACGTGAGAAACGACCCTTAAGAAATTAATACCCTCAAAGCCGATATTCGGCACAACGACAAGAAACACTCAGCTGATCTAAGTACAGTAAATGTGTTACCTCATTACATATTAATTGAATGTCTGAAAGGCATTTTGATTATACAAAGCGACTAAGGTGATATTCTTATAGTTGTATTCGTAAAGCGTACAGTCAAAATAATTCCATCACAGCAGGATACTGACTTCTTAACTAGCTTCTTTTTCGCCACCCATAAAAAGCACTCTCTTTGAAAAAATGACTAAGTGCTTGTGTATCATAGATTGTTGTTAGTGATTTTCGATGCTCTCAAAGACATAAGTATATTTTTAAAGGAAATCGATTAAGGAAATATCATTTTTGTACGCATTTGCTGTAAACGTATACGTACTTTAAAGTTTATTCCCCGAGATAAGGTTGCTCTCAGTGTTAAAAACGTGTTGAGTTGACGAATGAATTTGCATCAAACCCACGGTGATACTAAAATTCAAGGTTTCCAAGCTAAAGGCTGTTGCTTTGCCGTGTCAGGAAAAATACAGGGTGTCTCAAAAAATATATACACATTTTAAATAATTGTAAGATTGGTGTTTAACATAATTTTATTATTTTAAAAGTGTAAACATATTTACAAGTATCACTTTACTGTTTTTACACTGCATTTTGACTATGACAACAGTGGCTGAATTGAGAGAAGCCATTGGACATAAATCACCCCACTACTAAAGGGGTTGTTTCATGGTGTGTGCGCTTCCATTGCTTTGCGTTGTCAGCAGCGTCATGATCAAACTGGACGTCGGTTTGAGAACATTCAGCGAAACAAAACAATAAATTGATACTTGTAAATATTTTTACATATTTTTATTGATACAATTACGACAAACACCAATTTCAAAATTATTAAAAATGTGTATACATTCATGGGACACCCTGTGTAGCTTGCGTAAGGAAGAAATATCATATAGGGCTCACAAAATTTTGCAGTGGATGTGGATCATGTTCTATAACTTACACATGGGATAATTAAATGTTCA